TATATATATATATATATATATATATATATATAACGCAAATTTGTTGTTGTGTGCTGCCTCCTTCGCTGTACGTGGGGAGCCAAAGACAAAGAAAAACAGCAAAGACAAAAAATTAAAACTCAACTCAAAGTCAGCTGCAGCACAGCAGCCACAGAAAGAAGAGCATCATAATATAAATAACAACAACAACAAAAAATATAATAAATTGTTGTTGTTGCTACTCTTATAATAAAATATTAATGAGTGAAGGGGAGAGAGAGAGAGAAGAAAACTCTCTCTACTTTTTGCTTTCTCTGTATATATACAGTTTTTCCCTTCATTGATGCAGTTGCAGCAACAGCATTAGCAGCAGCAGCAGCAGCAGCAGCAGCTGCTGCTGCTGCTGCTGCTGGTTGCTGCCGTTGCTGCAGCAGCAGCAGCTGCTGCTGCTGCTGCTGCTGGTTCATGCAAGGCATTTGCTGCGCCAGGTCATATCATCGTCTCCATCAGACTCTGCTTCACTCATCTCTGCTTCTGCTGCTTCTGCTGCTGCTGCTGCTGCTGCTGCTGCTGCTGCCTGTTTTAGCTGCTGCTTCTCCTCCTTAATGGCTGCAGCAGCAGCAGCAAGCCTTTTAGAGTCTTCTGGGTCCTGCGGCTCGACCTTGCACCGTTTCTGCATCTCTTGCTTCTGCTGCTGCTGCTGCTGCTGCTGCTGCTGCTGTTGCTGCTGCAGTTGCTGCTGCTGCAGTTTGAATTCTTCAGCTTTCCTCTTCAATGCCTGCAGCTGTTTCTCTATTTGCTGCTGCTCTGCCTGCAGCTGCACAACGTGATTAACGAAAGCTTTTATATCTTTTTTTTCTTGTGCTGCTTCCTGTCTCCCTTCCTTTATGTCTGCAACTAACTCTTTTTTTTTTTCATTCAGTTGCTGCTGCCGCCGCTGCAGCTCTGCTGGGCCTATCTCCCCCCGTGCTGCTGCATCCTTATCGAAGTCATCGAAGAAACCCCAAGGCAGCTCCCCTTCTTGCTGCTGCTGCTGCTGCGGCTCCTCCTCCTGCTGCTGCTGCTGCTGCTGGCCCTTACGTTTCTTCTTGCCTGAGGTAGCAGCAGCAGCAGCAGCTGCTGCTGCTGCTGCTGCTTTTGCTGCTGCTTCGCGGCGCAGCTTCGCTACCTCCTGAGCCCGCTCCTCCTGCTTCTTTATCTGTTCTTCTTCCAACAGCACTTCGCTGCAGCACAGCAGCAGCAGCAGCAGCAGCAACAGCAACAGCAGCAGCAACAGCAGCAGCAGCATTTGTCTGACCGTTTGCAATGCCAACAACACTCACAGCCCGGCAGTTCCTGTAGCTGTTAGCGCTGCTGCTGCTGCAACAGCAGCTGCTCCAACTGCTGCTGCTGCTGCTGCTGCTGCTGCTGCTCCCTAATAAAGCTGCTACCTATGGCAACTTCTGCATGCAGTTATAAAGCCAAAGTGCAGCAGTAATGTCTACATAATATGTATAGATATACCAATACACGTACGTATTGATATGAACACACACACACACAATATACAAATAATATATATATATATATATATATATATATATATATATATATATATATATATATATTTGTTGCAGCAGTGCGTCTGTACCTGTGGAGGGCCGTAGAGAAGGGGTTGTACCAGTGGGTCTCATCGATGGCCGTGGAGAGCTCTAAGCTGCTCAATACAAACGAAGTTGCTGCTGAGGGTCCTCCATCTGCTGCTGCTGCTGCTGCTGCTGCTGCTGCTGGTGTTTCAGTTCCTTCTTGCTTCGCAGCAGGAGATACTGCTGCTGCTGCTGCTGCATCTGGTGCAGAAACGGGTGTATCTGCTGCTGCTGTTCCTGCTGCTGTTGCTGCTGCTGCTGCTTCAGGTGTCTTGGCAGCTCCGCCCCCGTCTGTATCTTCATCAGCGGATACCTCCGCCACTTGCGGCTGCAGCAGTGCCTCATCTGGTTCTTCTATTTCATATGCTAGCACATCTTCGTCTTCTTCTTCATCTTCTGCTGCTGTTGCTTCTGCTGCTGCTGCTGCTGCTGCTGCTGTTGTTTCTGCTGCTTCTGCTGCTGGCTTGGAGCCGGGGGAGGCGCTGGCTTCCTCGCCCGCTGCTCGTGCTGCCTCTGCAGGGTCGTCAAAGAAGTCAGCTGGCAGTCCCTCTATAGTTGTTTTGTTGTTTTCTTTTTTTTTTGCTTTTTCTTCTGCTGCTTCTTCATCGCTGTTATATCCGTCTAGGAGGTAAGAAGAGCCTCCTGCAGCATCCTTCTCTGTTCTCCTTGCTGCTGCTTTTGTTTCTGCTGCTGCTGCTGCTGCTGCTGCCTCCGCTTCTGCTGCTGCCTTCGCTTCTGCTGCTGCCCTCGCTTCTGCTGCTGCTTTCGCTTCTGCTGCTGCTTTTGCTGCTGCTGCCTTCTTTGCTGCTTCGGCGGCTTCGCGCTGCTGCTGTCGCCGCAGCTTCTCCTGGCGCATCAGTTCTCTGACGGAATTCATTGTGGCTTTCCCCGTGCAGCAGCGTAGCTGCAGCACGGGGTGTACATACACCTCAGCACTCGGGTTTAACTCCGCCGCTGGCTGCGGCCTGAGCTGCCGACGACTACAGAGGACGGCTGAGGCTGCAGCGCCAGAGAAGGAGAAGAGGAGACGGGCATTGCGTGAATCCTCACGCGTTCAGAAGCAGAAACCAACGAAATAAATACAACAGCTCGGCAAAGGCATCGACGATAGCGAGAAAATATAGAAATTCGGTAGAAATATGACCACAGAGAGAAAGACTGGGGCTGGAGGGGAAGAACGATTGCATGCATGCAGCAGCAGCTGCTGCTATGCTGTCTGCAGCAGCGGCTATGCATGCATGCAACAGCAGCAAGTACGAAGCTCTAGGAAAACGGAATAAAAGTGTTGAGAGGATATTTCAGTGCTCTTCGTGATATATAGGGCGTGTGCTGCTGTCTGTACACCTGACGATCTCCTACAGAAGGAGAGCTAGGACGCCCGGGGTGGTTTTCCTTTGCTGTTTATCTCCTTCTTTGCTGTGTTGCGGCAGCAGAGCTCTGTTGCTATCATCTTCTTTCTCTTTCGGCAGAGGCGAATACTGCTTTGCTGCGCTTTCTTTATAAACTCTGACGCATACACATACACACAGACAGCACGGCTCCTCCTTGCATCGGCGCTGTTGCAGGGCAGTTGCTGTGTTGTTTGTTGTATTTTTTCTCTGAATTTCTGTTAATTAAAGATTTTTCTATATTTATAAAAGGGAATGGAGCTCGTTTACAAAATAGGAGTGCCTGCAGGCGCAGCTTGCGCCCTCGTTGCTTCGTACGGCTTTCCGCCGGGTGTCGTTACACTCAGTGCCTTAGGCAGCAATGCAGCGAAGGCGATCAACGATGTAAGTTCAACAGAATTTATTAATATTTTGAATTTAAATTTATTAGTTTATGAAAGATATAACCCCGAAGTTTCGCTCGTTTTCGTTCATGGGAACATCTCGTTTCTATCATGTTGCAAATTGCGGTGTATAGGCAGTTCGTCTGTACACCCCAGACGGAGAGCTCGATGAACCAGCAACGATCATTCGTTACTTATGTACGAAGTCCGATGCCAAAGCCGTTCTTTTGGGCCCAGAGAAGAACGTCGATGAACAGGTCAACCACATATACCTCCCCTGCCTCCCGAGCCATTACTCTTTTGTCTCGGCTTATATTCAATATGTATATATATATATATATATATATATATATATATATATATATATATATATCGATATGCATATATAACGTTCGGGTATTAGATGAAATGCTGCCGTCGTCGCAGCCAATGTTGAATTATCGTTCTTTCGTTTTGTTTTGTTTCCCCTTTTCCGTGTGTTTCTTCTCTTCTTCATTTCCCTATACAACAGTTTCAGTTTAATGTTATTTGTTTGTCTCTTTGCCTTTTTTTTCAGGCTGCAATAGACCAGTGGCTCTCTTTCTGCGCATCAAAAAGATATTACATTCTCTGCAGCGACGATCTCAACGACTTCAATGCAACCCTCGAGCACAACACCTTCCTCTGCGGCAACAACCTCACCGCAGCAGACCTTGTCGGCATGGCTTCGGTGTATGTTGCTATGGTAAGCAACCAGCACTGTATACACATATACGATTGAAGGGTTTAGGGTTTAGGGTTTAGGGTTTAGGGTTTAGGGTTATATGGTAGACAGAGGCACTGCTACAAACATGGTTTAGGGTTTAAGCTCGATAGCAGCTACCCTTGACTCTCCCGTTGGCTGTAGAAGGGGTATTGCTCCCCCAAATATTAAATTTAAATTAAATATGTTTAATGTGGTTGCGTTCACTTGTAAAAAGAGCCACAAGTCATTGAGCTGTCTGTACACCTCAGCAGCTGCGATCTGTATTGTGTAGACAGCGGGTGGTGTTTTCTTTTTTTTTTTTTTCTGCTGCAGACGAAATCCTCAGTAAAGGAGCTGCAAGTGCTGAAACACCTCACACGGTGGTACAACCACATGCAAAACCTTCCTGGTGAGTATGCAGACTGAGCTGTACATACACCGCAATTTCCGCCGTCGCCAGTTGCTGCAATGCAAGAAACACCATCAGAAAATATTTAAATGCCCTTCAAACGCACCATACCAGTTTACTATATAATAATAATAAATAATAATAATAATAATAATAATAATAATAATATTTTATAAGAAACAAGAAGAGTATGAATGTTGGTGGTGGCTTCAGGTATCAAGGAGCAGCGGGTGCAGGG